ATATATACATATATATATATATATATCATACAAGCCAAACACAAAAACTAAACAAAGAATAAATCAGAGTACATATAATAAAGCAAATCAGCAAAACAAACAAAACCAAAAAATATATTAAAAAAGCAGAAAAATAATAACTCAGCATACACACGAAGAACAAATAAAAAACAAAGCAAATAAAACACGTAAGACAAACAAAACAAAAAAGAATAAGGCAAATAAATAAAACGAACAAAGAAATAAAAAGAAAATAAAACAAATAAAACAAATAAAACAAACAGAAAGAATAAAACAAACAAAACAAACAAAGCAAACATATGCACACACCAACGCATCACCCTCCAGCAGCAGCAGATGCAGCAGCAGATGCAGCAGCAGATGCAGCAGCAGCAGCAGATGCAGCAGCAGCTGCTGCTGCAGCAGGCGTCGTTATTGCAGGAGCTACAGCTGGTGTTAAGGTCGTTTCTTTTTTTATAATTCAAACAAATAAAATTATTTAAAACCACTAAAATGAACCCTCGTCAGATCGGGGTTTAGGGTTTAGGGTTTAGGGTTTAGGGTTTAGGGTTTAGGGTTTTCTAACTTTTTTTTAGTTCTTCGTTTTCAACTCTTTCTAAAATAAGATGTAGCAACTGCCACGCTATTTGAGGGTATTCCTGATGCCGCCTGCACACAAACCCTAAACCCTAAACCCTAAACCCTAATGACTCCTGAACCCTAGTAAACCCTAAACCCTAATTAATACCCATTCAACGTTAAACCCTAAACCAGAAGCTCCAAGCACTCCTAACCGCCAAACCCTCGTAAACGTAAACCCTAAACCCTAAACCCTAATGATGCCTAAACCCTAAACCCCAATGATGCCTAAACCCTACCAAATCCTTATCCCTAATAAACTCTAATAAGCCCCCATAAACCCTAACAAACCCTAGCAAACCCTAATAAACCCTAATACACACTAACGAACCCTCAGAAACCCTTATAAACCCTAATAAACCCCAATGAACCCTAATAAACCCTAATAAACCCCAGCAATAAGCCCTAATAAACCCTAATAAACCCTAATAAACCCTAATAAACCCTAATGCATACCTGAAGACTCTGTAAAGGGTTTGCTGCACGGGGGCCCTGAGATGTCGCTGTATAGGGAGTTCTCTTTGTGCTGTTTGTCTTGGGGTTATACACCACAAATGTTTGTCTTTTAATAAGAAGGCGCTCTCTTCTCTTAAAGCATTAAACTCAGTTAAACTTAACTCGCGGAAATACTGAAGAAGAAAACAAATATAATAGTAAAAACAATTAAAAATATTAAAAGAAGTAAAGAGAATTGAACAAATACACAATAAAAACAATCAAAAGAAATAAATGAAGAAAGAAAATTAAAACAAATAAATAAATAATAAACAGCAATATAATTAAATGCATTAAACATCAAACAATAAAAATAATAAACATCAATAAAAGACAGAAGAAAACAACAGAAATTAAGAGTAAAACAAAAGAAGAATAAAACAATAAAAATTAAAAAGTAATATAAAATAATAAAATAATTTAACAATACATCAACGTACAACTACGAAACACAACGCAGGAACACTCGTCATGCACAAGCTCTAGGGTCTAGGGTTTAGGGTTTAGGGTTTAGGGTTTAGGGTTTATACCACAGGGTCTTTGCCTTTCTGCCTCTTCATTTTCTCTCTCTCCTCCGGTGTTACGTTCTTATAAATCTTCATCAATTGCTGCTGTATCACTTCGCTGCTCTTACTCACTCCTAGGGGCCCCCCTAGGGGGCCCCCAGCAATTGGAGGAGCTTGCGCCTCTTCTCCTTTAATAGGGGGGGCCCCCTGGGGGCCCCTTTGGGGGCCTCTTTGGTACCCTCTTAGGCGATCCTGAAGGGCCCCCCATATTGAAGAGAGACCTGCGAAAGCCCGCTGCTGCTGCAGCTGAAAGGTAGCAGCAGAAGAGAGTCGGGGGCCCCACAGCAGGGGGCCCCTCTGGGTACCGTATAAGTGGGGGGCCCCCAAGGGCCCCCTGAGGGGCCCCTGCCTTCTACACGGTGAAGAAGATGAAGAAGAAGGAAGAAAAGAGCGATGACGTATTAATGCAGAGGGAAGACAAGAGGAAACAGGCATTTGTATTGATTGCAACAGGCCCCTGTTCGGGAAACGAAGAGGCCATAGAAGATATTAGGGTTTAGGGTTTAGGGTTTAGGGTTTACGAGTAAAACTGCAGTTTTTCACCTCACGGCAGCACTCAGGGACGTGCAGTGCACAGCAGAAAAAGGAAAAGATGCAGACGCTCAACTGCAAGGTTTCACATTAGTGGTTTAGGGTTTAGGGTTTAGGGTGTAGGGTATAGGGTCTAGGGGGTCATGGGGGCCCCCTACAGGTTGGGGGCCCCCCTGGGGGCCCCTGAGGCTCTGTTGTAAGAAGCGGCTTTTGCTTTATGTGTATATTAATGTGTAAATATAAAAGAAATTAAATATAAAGTAGAAATATTGGTTTTATTGTGTAATTTTTGTTCTGGGTTTGTTGGTTTGTGCATACAGCGTTGGGGTGTATAGGCAGCTACATGAACACGTAGGGGTGTGTTTGTGTATCTCATACAATATATTGAATTTCTTTGTGTTTTTTGTGTAATTTTTCTTGATTTTTTTTCTGTAGTTGTATATTTAGAATGTCTACAACACATCCCGATGATATCGAGACCGAATGGGACTCTTTACAGCGCAAATTCGGCAATTTACCTCCGAAGCCAGTGCGTGAAACCGAAGAAGAAAAGACAAAACAACTCGTAGATGCTCTCGAATCCGTTGATCCTCTTGCTTCTAAATCTCTTTCTCAATTAGATGAGTTAGAAGATGATATTGAAGAAGATGTTCTTCAAAAATACAGAGAAAAACGCATTCAAGAACTCAAACGCCAACAGAAGAGAAACCGGTAGAAATTTTCTTTAAAATCCATCAACAGACGCAACACAAGCAAATATATATTAATACATACGCATGCACACTCTCTGCTGCAGTAGAAATGCAATATACAGGGGCCGCTCGTGTTGCTGGCTGCTGCTGCACTGGCAGCAGCAGCAGCAGCAGCAGCAGCAGCACAGACTCCAGCAGTAGTAGAAACTCCAGCAGCAACACATACTGCAGCAGCAGCAGCCACTGAAGCAGCAGCAGCAGCGTTTACTCAGTCAGGACCAGCAGCAGCAGCAGCAGCAAGAAAGAGCAGAAGCAGTAGAAGGCATTCTTATTACTGGGGTTTGTGTTATTATTTTAAATATGTTTGTATTGCTTCTACGGGGTGTACGCACATTTATATTTATTTTTCTGTTTATTGTTTGCAGGTTCGGGGAGATAATCCAAATAAGTAAAGATGATTTTGTTAAAGAAGTAACAGAAGCCTCAGCAGAAGACCCCGATGCAGACGAAGACGAAGCAGCAGCAGACAAGCAGCAGCAGCAGCAGCAGCAGCAGCAAGGGGGGGGAGGTACATATGTGGTTGTTAATCTATACTCTGAGAGTGTGTCTGCATGCGTTTTGCTTAATGCTGCTTTTGCTGCCCTTGCAAAGAAGCATAAAGATATAAAGTTTGTGAAGGCGTTTGTTGCTGATGTACTGCCGAAGTTTAATGAAGTAAACCTACCTCTAGTTTTATTATATTTTAAAGGTCAATGCATGCAACAAATACGCGGAAAAGACCCCTGGGGAGATAATCATATCGACGAAAAACATGTAGAACGCAAACTCCGTAAACCCTAAACCCTAAACCCTAAACCCTAAACCCTAAGAAGAAACCCGGAAGAAAAACCTCTCTTTTAGAGCAGAAACGAACCCTAAACCATCAATATAAAACCCTAAAAACTTATGTCATAAAGCCAAACCCTAAACCCTAAACCCTAAACCTGAAGCAATATACCCTCCACCCTACTACCCAAACCCTAAACCCTCGACCCTACTACCCAAACCCTAAACCCTAAGCCAAGCCGTAAACCCTAAACCCTCGAGGTTAAACTGCATTGAGCTGACGTCATTTAGCTCCCATATTATCCAGTGTGTTTGAGTCTGCGCCTCTAAACCCTAAACCCTAAACCCTGCGTTGTGTGTGTTTGTTTCGGTAGAGCGGCTCGGGGTTTTTAAAGGTTTAAACAAAGTCAGCGCTTCTGATGAAGAGACAAGCGAAGAAGAGACAGATAGAAGGAGACAGCTGATTCGTGATAAAGGATATGCCTCAACAACCCTCGATAGAATCATCAGCCGCACCCGCTAAACCCTAAACCCTAAATTAAGAACCCTTTGTTCAGGTTCAAACCCCCTCTACCGCCTTTGAGGGCAGGTAGATTTATATAAACCCTTTTTCTTTGTCTTTCGCAGTGGTTTAGGGTTGTTTAGGTTTTATTTAGGGTTTATTTAGGGTTTATTTAGGGTTCATTTAGGGTTTAGGGTCTATTTAGGGTTTATTTAAGGTTTATTTAGGGTTTATTTAGGGTTTCTTAAGGGTTTACTTAGGGTTTGTTAAGGGTTTATTTAGGGTTTATTTAGGGTTTGTGTAGGGTTTAGGGTTTAGGGTTTAGGGTTTATATAGGGTTTATTTAGGGTTTAGGGTTTATTTTTTTTTATTTTTAACTGCAGTTTGTTTATTTTTTAGTGCAACTTGCGCCTCTGGTGCATAGAAGAGATGCGGCTGTCTCTTTTTTAAGTCTCCGAGAGGATACCGGAGATAAATTAAGTTACAAAAGACCTGCAGCTTTTGTTTCTCTTCAGCAGAGAGAGACTCTAATAGCTGCTGTCGATACACCCGATGAAACGCCAAACCCTCAGGGAACTGCTGCTGCCGATAAGCAGACCAATCCTCATCATCATCTGCTGCTGCTGTTGCTGCTGTTGTTGCTGCTGCTGGTGCTACTGCTGCTGCTGCTGCTGCTGGACTTTCTGCTGCTGCTGCTGCATTTTCTGCTGCTGCAGTTGCTGCAGCAGTGCTGCTTTGAACAGCCTCAGCAAAGAGATCTGCTGGCATTGCGTTGAGGGCTCTGAAAGCTGCAGCAGCTGCTGCGCATTCCCGCTGTATAAACGGCTGGTCCGCTCGCTGCACTCAGACACAGACATCAAATATATATGCAGCTAGCTAACTAGCTAGCTAGGTAGGTAGCTAGCTAGCTAGCTAGCTACCTACCTAGCTAGCTAGCTAGGTAGATAGGGAGATAGGTAGATAGATAGAGATTGAGAAATAGATAGGTGTATACAGGGCTGCGCCGCTCGCTGCACTCAGACACAGACATCAAGCTGTCTAGCTAGCTAGCTGTTTAGCTAGCTAGCTGGCTAGCTGTCCGTCCAGTGTAGCTAGCTAGCTAGCTAGCTAGCTAGCTGTCAAGCCTAGCTGGCTAGCTGGTTAGCTGCCTGTCTAGTTTAGCCTGCTAGCTAGCTAGCTGGCTAGCTAGCTAGCTAGCCAGTTAGATTGGGGTGTATGTATGTAACCTGTTTGTTGAGGTGAAAGACTTCGATTTGCGCTTGCATGTCTTGTCTGTCTTGAAGACCATCAGAGGGGTTCGCAGGAGAGAAAATAAGCTCAAGCAAAGATCTTATCTTGCTGCTGCTTTTTAAGAACTCTACTGTCTCTACCACAAGAGACTCAGGGAGGTGCGGACGGTAGCGCCTCAAATGCTGCGGTACCTCAGACTCCCTGAAGCACATTAAGGGCTTAGGGTTTAGGGTTTAGGGTTTAGGGTTTTCAAAGCACGGATGCGAGAATTAGGGATGCGCAAAACATCATGATGACAGCGCAGCTTACGGGTTCAAAATTCATCATCAGGGTTTAGGGTTTAGGGTTTAGGGTTTAGGGTTTGTGGAAGTACACACGATAGCCTAGGGTTTAGTGTTTAGGGTTTAGGATTTAGTGTTTAGGGTTTAGGGTTTAGGTTTTCAGCAGGGGTTTCGGCGGTTGCGAAGTGGGCACTCAATTCAGGGACTAGGGTTTAGGGTTTAGGGTTTAGGGTTTAGGGTTTGCCTTACGGGTTTGGTTTTTTAATCTGAGGAGTAGATTTCTTCTTCGGGGGTGGGGGGCCCCTGCAGGGGGGCCCCCTATATACCCCTTGACGAGTTAATGTATAGAAGACTGAAGACATAATACATAACTTTGTTTGTCTTCTTCATAGGCTCTCTAGCATTATCTGCTGCTGCTGCTGCTGTTGCTGCTGCTGCTGTTGCTGCTGCTGCTGTTGCTGCTGTTGTTGTTGCGGCTGCTGCTGCTGTTGTTGGTGTTGCTGGTGTTGCTGGTGTTGCTGTTGCTGTTGTTGCTGCTGCTGCTGCTGCTGCTGTTGCTGCTGCTGCTGTTGCTGCTGGAAGCGGAGAGCGAAGAGGCAGCAACAAACAAGTAAAAAGGATAAATTAAATAATTTATTAAAATAAAATGAAGGGGTGCGAATTAATAAGAGCAATAAACAACGAAGGGCCCCCCTATCACCGTAATACAGGAAGGGGGGCCCCCCGGGGGGCCCCCGGGATACTCGATCTAGGGTTTAGGGTTTAGGGTTTAGGGTTTAGGGCTTGCATTGGAGCGTTAAGGGATTTAAAGCTAGTCATTTCATCTAAAGTTTCGTTGTGTGTCTTTAAACCCTAAACCCTAAACCCTAAACCCTAACCATAAATGAACCACCAGCACGGCTAGGGGACCGTAAACCCTAAACCCTAAACCCTAAACCTTAAACCCTCAATAGAGTGTCTTATCCTTTAGAGGTTTCCTTCAGATCCTCTTAGTATTTACTAAACCCTAAACCTCAACAATAAGAGCTAAACAACCCTAAACCCTAAACCCTAAACCCTAGACACTAAACCCTAAACCCTAAACCACCGACAAACGGAGCTAAACGTAAACCCTAAACCCCAACAAAGATTAGCAGAGGTGCGTGGGGTTTAAGCTGAGAAGGCAGCTTCAGCGTAGATAAAGAAGGTATAGAGAGAAAGCATAAACACCAAACCCTAAACCCTAAACCCTAAACCCTCGCGGGGCAGTGGTTTCTGGGGGTTTGGTTATTCCCATTGGTTGAGGAGAACTGCATCAAAGCCTGCTGCTGCTGCAGCTGTTGCTGCTGCTGCAGCAGCAGCAGCAGCACCTGCTGCTGCAGCAGAAGCAGCAGCAGCAGCAGCAGCAGACACAGGAGAGAAGGAAGCAGAGAAAGACTCATAAAACAAATATTTATAAATATTAGAAGGGGTGAGAACAGCAGGCGAAGGCCGCCGCCTGCATATCTGGAGCACAAATGCACAAACCCTAAACCCTAAACCCTAAACCCTAAACCCTCTGCTGGCAGCAGGGCGCAACCAACCCTAAGAGCAGCAGAAGACACTAGGTAGCAGCAGCAGCAGCATCAACAGCAACAGAAACAGCAGCAGCAGCAGCAACAGTAACAGCAACAGCAGCAGCAACGCAAACGGCAGCAGCAGCAACAATACAAACAACAGCAACAACAACAACAGCAACTACTGCAATAGGACCAGCAGCAGCAACAACTGCAGCAGCAGCTACTGCAGCAGCAGCACCAAAAGGAAGCAAGAAACGAGAAGAGCAGCAACGTAGAAGTAGCAGCAACAGCAGCAGCAGCACCCGCAGCAGCAACACCAGCAGTAGCAGTAGCAACACCGCAGCAACAGCAGCAGCAAAAACAGCAGCAGCAGCAGCAGCATGGTTTTACTAGTAGGTATTGTTCGCCGCAGAGTGCGTAGATAGCTCCAAGGCTCCAGGCGTTCTGTACTTGCTGCTGCTGCTGCTGCTGTTGTTGCTGCTGCTGCTGCTGCGTTGCTGTTTGTGCAGCAGATTGAGCGTCATTTGGGTATGTCTCTCTGTCTCCTTTTTGCTGCTTCCTGCTGTCTCCTTCGTTGTGGGGTTTCAACGCCAATACAAATTTATTCAATGTCCTCCACTCTGTCTCAAATGCTGCTAGCACTTCCGCTCGCTGTCGCGGCCCTGCAGCAGCAGCAGCAGCAACAGCAGCAACAGCAGCAACAACAGCAGTAGCAGAGCAGCAGGAGCAACAACAACAGCAGTAGCAGGGGAGTAGCAGCAGAAGCAGAAGTAAGCAATAAAAGCAACAGCAACAGCAATAAGAGCAACAGCAGCAGCAGCAACAACAGCAGCAGCAGCAACAGCAGCAGCAGCAGCAACAGCAGCAGCAGCAGCAGCAGCAGCAGCAGATGGGTAGAGGGCAGATTGCGGCGTTGAGGAGACCATTGAAGGGAGCAGCAAACGGCGAAGGGAGACAAAACAGAGACAGCAGCAGCAGAAACGAGAAGGGTTTAGGGTTTAGGGTTTAGCAGCAAGACCCACCTAAACGTACACCCCACTGCAGCGCATGCAGCACTGCAGCTTTATTGCTGCAAGGAGGGGGGGCCCCGGGGCCCCTGGGGGCCCCTAAGCCGTCCCCCCATCGAAATGTCTGTGAAATGCTTGGAGCCTCCATGACTATTCTTCTGCTGCTGCTGCTGCTGTTGCTGCTGCTGCTGCTGCGGTTGCTGCTGCTGCTGCTAAAGAGAGGCATTGTTTTGAGCTTCTCTTGGGGGGTGTCTTCTAAGCAACTGGATGTGGGGCCCCACAGCAAAGTGCTGCTGCTGCTGCTGCTACTGCAGGAAGAAGATGCCCTATGGAGACCCGCAGCACTTTCAAGGGGATTGGCTGCTGCTGCTGCTGCTGCTGCTGCTGCTGCTGTTGGTGCTGCTGCTGTTGCTGCTGCTGTTGTTGTTGTTGGTGGTGCTGCAGTTGCTGCTGCTGCAGCACATGAAGTTTCCGCTACAGAAGCACCTGCCGACGCCTCCCTCTCCTGCTGCTGCTTCTGCTGCTGCTGCTGCTGCTGCTGCTGCTGCTGCTGCTGCTGCAGTGTTGACTGCTCTGCATCTCTGGTGTCTGCATCTCCTGCTGTTGGGGGCCCCTCAGCATAGAAGCAGCGGTGAAGAGACAGAGGAGGAAAACGAGGGAGGCCCCCATGCTGTGTCGGCTCTTTGAGTCGTTCAGGGGGCCCCATTCCTGCAAAGGGGTTATTTGCTGCTGCTGCTGCTGCTGCTGCTGCTGCTGCTGTTGCTGCTGCTGTTGCTGCCGTTGCTGTTGCTGCTGTTGCTGCGAGAGAACCCCCTGCTGGGGGGCCCCCTAAGATAAACCCTGAAGGGGGGGCCCCCGACCCTAACGCGAACTTAGAGGGGGGTCCCCAGGGTTGAGGGGGCCCCCTAATAGGGGGGGCCCCCCTATTGGATGTGGGGTTAGATGCAGATACACCTCGGGGTGTATATGTAGCTGGCAGCAGGGTAGGGGGGGGCCCTCTCCAGGTAATGGAGCCTTCTTTGGGGGCCCCAGGAGGGTTGTGGGGCCCCTGCTGCCTCTGCAGCATGCAGCTGCTGCTGCTGCTACTACTGCTGCTGCTGCTGCTACGGGAGAAGAGGGAAGACTCTGCTTGAAGTGTCTCCACAGACACCTCAGTTGGTGTCTCCTTTAGAGGCAAATCTAACAGAGAGGGTCCCCTTTCACTGACGGCCCCAGGTAGTTCCCCTGTGGGGCCCCTAGAGGGGCCCCCAGGGGGGCCCCCATGGGGGGCCCCCAAAGGGGTCTCCGAGGGGGTTGTGGGGGCCCCCCTTCTTTTGTAGACCCGTAAGCTCGCTCCTTTGCTGCTGCTTTTAGGCCTCCCACTTCTGCTGCTGCTTCTGCTGCTGCTGCTGCTGCTGCTGCTCCTGCGGCGGCGAGAAGAGGCACTGTACAGACCTGGGGGCCCCTCAGGGGCCCCCTCTGTTGGTGAAGAAGATTGCGGGGGGGCCCCCTCTCTAAAGCTTCTGTACGATGGCGTTGATAGCTGAGATTGGGGCCCCCTGGGGGCCCCTGAAGTAGAGTCAGGAGGCAAGGAGACACTAGGGGGGCGGCTGGGAGATGCTGCTGCTGCTGCTGCTCCTGCTGCGGCTGCTCCGTGCCGGCGGCGGTTGCTCTTGCTGCAGCAACAGCAGCAGCAGCAACATCCAGTCGTGCTGCTTGCAGCAACAGCAGCATTTGCTGCTGCTGCTTTGCTGCGGGGGCCTTTCGGTGAACTCCCCACACAAGAGAGACACCGTGCAGCTGTTTGCTGCTGGCCCCCTAAAAAGGCCTCTTGGAGCTGCTGCTGTTGCTGCTGTTGCTGCTGCTGCTGCTGTGTCTGCTGCTGCTGCTGTCTTATTGGTTGCTGTTGCTGCAGAAGGAATGCTGAGAGCTGCTGTTGCTGGATATGCGGGTTTTGCTGCTGCTGCTGTGGGAGACGGTGCTGCCTCAGCTGCTGCTGCTGCTGCTGCTGCAAGAAGGGGAGCGATCGATCCCAACACGATGATGAGTGCTCCAAATTCTGTGGGGTATTATAGAGCCCCCTGATGCTGCTGCTGCTGCTGTTGATGCTGCTGCTGCTGCTGCTGCTGAATTGGTGTCTGGCGTCTCCTGCGGAGGCTGAACGAATGCAGCTCTTCTTCAGTCGTTTGGGGGCCCCCCTGAGTACGGGGGCCCCCCTGGGTACGTGGGCCCCCATGGGTACGGGGGCCCCCAGGGGAGGACCCCAGCGGCGCCCCCTGCGAGCAGCAGCAGGCGCTGCTGCTCTGCCTGGAGGCCCTTCCTGTGCAGCAGCAGCAGCAGCAGCAGCAGCAGACAATTCTGGTGGGGGGCCCCCCAACCCCCACTCGCTCCTGCTGAGGAGACAGGGAGACGATCCCCAGCAGCTGTCTGCAGCAAAGCCTGAGAAAGTGTTTGTAAAAGACAAACAGCAGAGACCATTTCATGACGGTTTAGGGTTTAGGGTTTAGGGTTTGGGCCTTCGTATAGATGAGGGCGATGCAGCGTCTTAAACCTAAACCCTAAACCCTAAACCCTAGCGCTATGCAGCTGCTGTGCACTTGCCTGCTGCTTCAGATGGGGGCCCCCATGGGGCCCCCCAGGGCCCCCAGGGGCCCCTGCTGCGGGATCGTCTACTCCAGCTGCCTTCGTGAGGCCCCTCAGTGGGGCCCCTGCTGCTGAGGGGCCTCCAACCCCCCCTAGGCCCTGAAGACAGAAACAAAGCAAATGCTGCTGCTGCTGCTGCTGCTGCTACTGCTGCTGCTGCTACTACTGCTGCTGCTACTACTGCTGCTGCTACTACTGCTGCTGCTGCTGCTCTTGAAACTGCTGTTGCTGCTGCTCTTGAAGCTCCTGTCTCGCAGGTGCAGTCACGGTCTTTGGGCCCGGGGCTTCAGGCCTAGGGTTTAGGTTTTGAGAACTAGGTTTTCACAGTCTGCATCTAGGGTTTAGGGTTTAGGGTTTAGGGTTTAGGGTTTCAGCAGTAGGGTTTACATCTTGGAGATCGCATGCTCTGATGAGTTGATCTTCTAGCAGGTGGGGGTGAGAGTCGTGGGTGCCCCCATGGGGGCCCCCCCAAGGGCCCTCCCAGGGGCCCCCTCAGGGGCACCCCCAGGGGGCCCCCCAGGGGCCCCCCGGGGGGCCCCCCTAAAGGCCCCTGTACGGGCCCCCTAAGGGCCCCTCTATACTTGGCTAGGAGACAGTAGAGGGTTTCAGCTGCCCCACCCATTAACTCGAGGTCTTCTGATAGGGACTGGGAGCAAACAGCTTCTTCTCTCTGCAGCAGGAAACAATAAACCCTAAACCCTAAACCCTAAACCCTAAAGTGTAGACGAGTAAACGGAGGGGCAGCAATACAGCTGCAGGCGTCCTCCGCCTCCTTCGCATGGTTTGCTTGTAGGACGAGCGCCAGCGAAATAGACTTAGGGTTTAGGGTTTAGGGTTTAGCGTTTAGCGTTTAGGGATTAGGGTTTAGGATACCTCGGCGAGGCAGCCCTCTGTCTCCGCTTCATACAACTGTCTCCTTCTTTGCAAGGAGTCTCCAAGGGCCCCTGTGCTGCAGTGGGTCCCCCTTGAGGGTTTAGGGTTTGTTGAGGGTTTAGGGTTTGTTGAGGGTTTAGGGGTCTTGGAGGGTTTAGGGCTTCTTGAGGGTTTAGGCCCGGAGGGAGGGCCCTCCGTTGAGGTGGGAGACATTCTGCTGCTGCTGTTGCTGCTGGTGCTGCTGGTGCTGCTGGTGCTGCTGCTGGTGCTGCTGGTGCTGCTGCTGTTCCGTTCGGCAGCAGGAGAAAGCCTCTTGTTGTCATGTGGAGGACTGAAAGGCACAAACCCTATACCCTAAACCCTAAACCCTAAACCCTCGTCTTGAACCCTAAGCCCTCGATACTCAAATATCGAGTCCAACAAACCAAAGCAAACCCCAAACGTAATGCAAAGCCTACGCAGCTCTTCTAGGGTTTAGGGTTTAGGGTTTAGGGTTTAGGTTACCCTTGCAGCCCGCGAAGAGAAGAGACAAGCCCGTCAGTTATGCCCCGTACAATTGCAGCGTAGTCAGCTGCCGCACAAACCCTAAACCCTAAACCCTAAACCCTAAACACTGACGTTAAACCCTTTCTGTGTCTGCGCTTTGCAGGCATCCAGGTTGAGAGGAGAGGGTGCTAGTTTGGGGCTCATTGGTTGATGCATCGGTCTTTTGTCTAGGGCTTAGGGTTTAGGGTTTAGGGTTTAGGGTTTAGGGTTTAGGCACACCGAAGATCTCGGCTTCATGAAGAGCCCCGCCCAGGAAACTTTGTTTCTCTGCAAGGAAGGAGAAAACATGAAGGTTTAGGGTTTAGAGCTAGGGTTTAGGGTTTGCGCTTAGGGTTTCGATTTAGGGTTTGGAACTAAGGATGTGTTTGCTGTTTAGGGTTTAGGGTTTAGGGTTTAGGGTTTAGGGTTTAGGGTACCGGTTTTGGTGTTTCTGAACTTGGCGCAGCGGATGGCGGGATCGACACTGGAGGAGACGATCCCAGGGCTAGGAGAAAGAGGCACGCATTGATATGTGCTGCTGCTGCTGCTGCTGCTGCTGCTGCTGCTGATGCCGCAGCAGCTGCGGCTGAGTCGCTTGGCGCTGCTGCCTCTGCTGTTGTATTCCATAGGAGCAACGCTGCTGCTGCTAGTGCTGCTGCTGCTGCTGCTGCTATTGTTGTTGCTGCTGCTGTTTCGCCTAGGATAGAGCGCCTTGCTGCTGCGGCTGATTGCGTTATTGTTGCTGCTGCTGCTGCTGCCTCTATCCAGCTGAGTGGAGGCTGAGGAGACACCTGCTGCTGTGTTGCTCTCTGTCTCTGCTGCAGATAGCTGCGCATACACCCCAACACGAGCGAAATGCCAGCATAGTCAGCGTTCTCTTTATCTCGCTTTGTCTCTCTTTGTCTGTCTCTCTCTCTCTGTCTCTGTCTCTCTCTCTCTCTCTCTCTGTCTCTCTCTGTCTCTCTTTGTGTCTCTTTCTCTCTCTCTCTCTGTCTCTCTGTCTCCCTCTTTATCTCTATCTCTGTTTCTTTCTCTACCGTTATCTCTTTATCTCTGTCTCTGTCTCTGTCTCTGTCTCTGTCTCTCTCTTTGTCTTTGTTTCTCTGTCTCTGTCTCTCTGTCTCTGTCTCTGTCTCTCTGTCTCTGTCTCTGTCTCTGTCTGCGTCTGTCTCTACAACTGCCTCTTCTTCTCTCTGTCTCTTCCTCTTTGTCTCATCCTTTTTATCTTTTTATCTTCGTCTGTCTCTTTATCTTTGTCTGTCTCTTTATCTTTATCTGTTTCTTTATCTTTGCCTCTTTATTTATTCTCGTCTTTTAATCTATTTATTTATTTATTTATTTCTGTCTCTTTATATCTGTCTCTGTCTCCTTGAAGTACAGTAAAGGTGCCTATACACCTAAACTCACTCCCTGCTCCGCAATGCTGTTGCAGCTAAAGGAGGGGCCCCAGGGGGCCCCCACATCGCCGCTGCTGCATGCATTGGTAATGCCTGAAGGATTCAGGGGTTCTGCTGCTGCTGCTGCACTGCTGCTGCTGCTGCTGCTGCTGCTGGGATCGACGGGATCGTGCTGCTGCATTATAAGTGCGCATTCTGCTGGAGGGGGCCCCAGGGGGGCCCCCTCAGTTGTGCTGCTGCCATTGAGATGCAGCAGCAGGGGCCCCTCTTGCTGCTGGGGGCCCCACCTTGCTGCTGTCTCTCCCCAGGTTCCCTGTCTCTGCGAAGCAGCAGAAGCAGCAGCAACAGCACCTGCTGCTGCTGCTGCTGCAGGGGCCCCAGAAGGTTGGCTAGCTCGCTGGCTAGCTAGACAGCTAGCTGCAGAATAAGGTGAAGAGGGGGCCCTCGCTCTCTCTGGGGTTAGAGACCCTAGGTCTTCTCTTTCTGTGGGGGGGTCCTCTTGATCTGAATGCTCAGCAGCAAACGTTGGCAAGCCATCTTCTTGCTGCTGCTGCTGCTGCTGCTGCTGCTGCTGCTGCTGCTGCTGCTGTTCCTGCTGATGCTGGTAGTCTGCATAGCTGCCTTGAGAAAGGATCGAGCGGAGGGAAGAGAGGCTCCTTCTATAAGGCACAGACAGATCCAACCCTCTGCTGCTGCTGCTGCTGCTGCAGCTGCTGCTGCTGCTGCCTCGCTTGATCCCTGCAGCCACAGCAGCACCGCAAAAGCAGCAGCAGCAGCAGCAGGAGTTGCTGTATTCTTTCTTGGCACCGTTGCTACAGCAGCAGCAGCAGCAGCAGCAGCAGCAGCAGCAGCAAGGCCAGCAAATGAGGCAGCAAGGGGAGCAGAGACAGCAGCAACAGGAGACAGGGCCTGTAGAGGAGCCCCTTAAATACCTCACCTGTTAATAAGCTGTGCAGAGAGAGTGTCTCCTTAGAAGGAGACAGTTTATCTTCTTCTAAGGTTTCGCTGCTCTTAGAAACAAAGCCCCAAATGCTGCGGCTGGCTGGGCGCCCGCAGACAGCACAAGAGGGTATAGAAGGGTTTGGGGGCCCCTCTAGGGGGCCCCCTTCATTTTCTATGGGGGGCCCCATGGGGGCCCCTAATGAAGCTGAAGCCTCGTGTGGGGCCCCCCAGGCTGCTAGCGAAGCAGCAGCAGCAGCTGCTGCATCTACAGCGGAGGAGGAGGAGGAGGGGGGGCCCTCAGTTAATAGAGGGGGCCCCTGTGCATTCAAAGGTTCCCTTATGAAAGCAGCAGCAGGAGCATCAGATGGTGCCTGGAGGAGACGATCCCCAGAGGGAGACGGCTGGGATCGAGTTTGCACGGAGGAGATGTGGGGTGTGGGGACTGCAGCAGGAAGGAGGGTGGAACAGCTAGGCTGCTGCTGCCCTGCAGCAGCAACTGAGTCGTTGAGTGCAGTGTACGTACACCCCAAATCAGATGGGGCCTGATCATTCAAACAAACTGAGGACGAAGGAGAACGAAGTAAAGGCAAAGAAGACAAAGAAGAATCCATGAGCAGACACCGCAAATAAAACCCTAAAGATAAAAGAGAGGCGAGAAAAACTCAGATATATTCGGGTGTACGTACATACATACTCCTGTTCAATATATATACATACACCGCGTAAATATGTGTGTATAATATATATATATATATATATATATAGACGTAGACCTAATGAATGAGTGTACATACACCTCAGGCCGTTCAGGAGCCTCCGCCGATTCCCTCTACTTGTCTAAATGAAAGAAGCAGCAAATAGCAATCAAGAACGAGGGCCCCTAAATATAAGACCGGCGAGACCCGGCTACTGAAAGACTGCTGATGCTGCTGCTGCTGCTGCTGCTGCTGTTGCTGTAGCTCCTGCTATCTAAACCGGGGCTACGATGAGGCCCGTGGCTTGCTGCTGCTGCTGCTGCTGCAGCAGCAGGAAGGAGAGCATGCAGCGGTTTGATCGAACGGTAGAGGGAAAATAAAACAAAGATTTAACTGAAGAAAAGAACATTCAAGATAAATCAAAAACCTAGAGCTGCAGATACACCCCGGCCCCACCCACCACGATGAGGCGCCGCGCACCCGGAGGTCCCCTCGGGGCTTCTAAGTTAAATTGATTGAAATAAAAGAAAATATTTTCTAATTTACTTTTTAAAATATATTTACACAAGCATAAAGCCCTAAAAAGATCAGTAAGGGGCCGATCTCCCTCCATAAATACCCGAGGTCACTCTGAGGTGTACATACACCCCGAGTTGTCGTTGATATTCAGATGGTTTCTTACGTTTTTTAAATGAAATGTATCAAAATAAGGGTAAAATAGTGAGTAAAAATAATTTAATTTGCATTTTATTGCATTTTTATGCATTATTTCTGCTTTTTACGAGCTCTCTCCAACCGGTGTGCCCATACGGGGGGCCCCACAGCTGTCTATACACCCCACGCTCCCGCCCCAGGCTAAGCTGTATACGCAGCTCCATCAATCCTACATAAACAACCCTGAATAATAAACACTAAAGCGGAGGTCTTTAAGCCCTTCAAATGCTGCACCATCGAACCAACTTGCTGCGTTCATACTTGGCTGAAACCCCTAAACCCTAAACCCTAAACCCTCAACCTTATATCCTGCAGCTCCCCCATGAGTGAAATAGACGGCCATGAGAACAAAACGGGGGTTCAACTCCACAATCCTCTATCCGCATAGACCCTAGTTGCTCAGGTCTAGCCTAAACCCTAAACCCTAAACCCTAAACCCTGATCGTTCAGCCCTCCTCTAAGCAGGTTAAGAGCGGTAACGCTGCTTGCTGTGCACTGAAGTTTGTGAAGCAGCAGCGATATACAGAGACTCATCATCGGGGCAGCTGAGGTGTACATATACTGCAAACCTGGATGCGCATATAAACGAAGTCTGCCCCGCAGCAGCAAAGCAGACGCAAAAAGCACTCGGTTGCTGCTGCTGCTGCTGCTGCTGCTGAGCCTGCTGCTGCATCCACTCTTGCTGCTGCTGCTGCCCTAGTGGCAGCAGCAGAAGCTGCTCTCTAGAAGCGATTGCTGCAGCTGCCGTGAAAGTTGCTGCTCCATAAAACGCAGCAGCACCTGAAGCAACAGCAGCAGCAGCAGAAGCAGCTGCTGCTGCTGCTGCTGCTGTTGCTGTTGCTGCTGCTGCCCCACGGCCTTTCCCTCTCGGCTGAGCCCTGCAGCGGCACTAACTTTGCTGTCGCTGCCTCTGCAGCAAAGCCTGCTGTTGTAGCAAGGTTTGCTGCTGCATCAAGACGTGCTGCAGCTGCTGCAGCTGCTGCAGCTGCAGCAGCAATACCTGCTGCTGCAGCACCTGCAGGGACTGAGAATGCTGCTGCTTTTTCGCTGCAGCTTCAGTCTGTCTCGAGCAGCAGCTTTTGCTGAAGAGAGCATCAGACAGATGCCGCTGCAGCAATGCAGAGGGGCCCCCCTAACTGCTGTACTTCCTCAGCTGTATCTGCTGCATCTGCTGCCGTTGCTGCTTTTGCTGCTACTTCTGACTGCACTTGCTGCTATTGCAGCTGCTGCTGTTGCTACTACTATTACTACTATCACTGCTGCTATTACTACTACTACTACTACTACTACTACTGCTGCTGCTGCTGCTGCTGCTGCTGCTGCAGCAGCAGCGAGACTTCCGTTACTGTCGCTTGATGTCTTCATCCAAGGCCTCTGTTTGACCAGAAGAAGGAGAGACTGCTGCTGTTGCTGCTGCTGCTGTTGCTGCTGCAGCTGCTGCTGCTGCTGCTGTCTCTCCTCCCACTTTCGCTGCCTCAGCTGCTGCTGCCTCCGCCGCTTTTTCTGCTTCTTTTGCTGCTGGTGCTACTGCCTTCTGCACTGTTGGGGTATCTGTTTCTGCTGCTGCAGCTGCTGCTGCTGCATTCATTGATGCTGCTGTTTGTGTTGTTGCTGACTCATCTGCTGGCGTTGCAGCATCTCTTGCTGCTGCTGCATGCGTTGCTGCTGCTGCTGCACCTGTTTCTGTTGCTGCATCTGCTGCTGATGCTGCGTCTGTTTCTGTTGCTGCATCTGCTACTGCTGCAGCATCTGTTTCTGTTGCAGCATCTGTTGCTGCTGCTGCAGTTGAGGGAGTCTCGTTCGACGGTGTTGTTGCTTTTGCTGCTGCTGCTGCTGCTGCTGCTGCTTCATCTGCTGCTGCTGCATTTGCTGCTGATGGGGGGTCTCCCAGCTGTGCATTAATAAAATCAGCGATTTGCTGCACGCACTCCGAGGCAGACGGCTCTTCAAAGAACCCAAAACAAGGAAACTGAGACGCACAAACCCTAAACCCTAAACCCTAAACCCTAAACCCTAAACCATCGACCATAAACCCTGCAACACACAGCCGCCGAGCTGACGAAACGATACCCAGCGTGCTCTACAAACGTACACCCTAAACCCTAAACCCTAAACCCTAAACCCTAAACCCTGAAGTTTAATGCGTGAAGCGCACCACGTGGAATTCATCCTTCCAGACGGTGACGGTTGCCTGTTTGCTGCTGCTGCTGCTGCTGCTGTCTGTTGCAGTTGCTTCAACAACACCTTTCTTTTCTAGCTGCTGCAGGGTCTCCTCTGAAAGCCAGCCCATCTGCTGGAAGTAAGGAGGAGGTGCAGCAGCAGCAGCATCTGCTGCTGCTGCTTCTGTGGGGTGCTGCAGATGATCAGATAAACTCTCAGCTGAAAAGAATGTTAATACCTCTACAGGTTCTTCATCGTCTCCTTTTTCTTCTGTCTCCGTTGCTGTCTCCTTTTGGGTAGAAGCAGACGCCTCATTGCTGCTGCTGCTGTTGCTGCTGCTGTTGCTGCTGCTGCTATTGCTGCTGCTGGCTTCTAGGCCTCCGCCTGCCCCTTCCTCAAGCGAACTTGTCGCGTCTCCTTTCATCTCCCCGTTGCTGCTGCTGCTGCTGCTGTTGCTGTTGCTGCTGCTGCTGGTAGGTATTGTTAGAGGAGGCAGCTGCTGTGGGGCTTCGAAGGTGTCTGCATCTGCATGCGCTTCATTAATGCGTCTGGCGAGAATAAGAGAGTCGCTAAGCAAAACCTAAACAAAACAAGAAAATAAATAAATAAATTAATTAATTAATTAAAGAGATATTATATTATACAGCAGATAAAGAGATAAAGCATATTAATATATATATATATATATATTATATTATATATATTAAAGCAGATAGATGTATAAATATATCAACACGAAAGAGAAGTATAGAAAAAAAAGAAAGAGTGCAGCAAATGAAGACAAAAATAATAATAATGATGAATTAACGACGAAAGAGAAATAGACAAAAAGAGTAGGAACAAAGCAGATAAAGATAAACGACATTAAAATAAAAATAACGCAATAAAACAAACAAAGAAAAGAGAGACAGATGAAGAGGAGACAGAGAGAAACAAGACAAACACTCAAAAGCAATCAATACACACGGAGTAACAAACACCACCACCAACTCCAAACCCTAAGCCCTAAACCCAAAACCCTAAACCCTTGGGTTGACTGGATCGGCTTGCAGCAGCACAGGAGATTCCTACACGGCGACTCTTGCAGGCCGTTAGGGTTTAGGATTATTTAAAGTTGTTTACAGCTACTTAGGTTTAGGGTTTAGGGTTTAGGGTTTAGGGTTTACAGACCTCAAGGGCGCCTGCATGAATACAAGTAGGAGGAAACTCTCGCAGCACTTTCGGGTCGCTGAGGTAAACCGGAGACACCCAAGGGTCTCTAAAGGGGGTTTTATCCTGCAAGAACGACAAACCCTAAACCCTAAACCCTAAACCCTAAACCCTAAACACGAGATCCTCAGACCTTTAGAGCCCTGACTCGCAGCGTTCCAACGGGCCGTGCAGCAGAGCGTTGTTGTTGTTGGGGGCCTCGACTGTAGTAAATAATATTGTTTAGGGTTTAGGGTTTAGGGTTTAGGGTTTAATACAAGTTCGTTGCCTTGGAAGTCGAGAGAAAAAGCTATACTTCCAAAGCGGTAGAGAGCAGCAGCTCTCTTAATCGAGAGGAGAGGAAGAAGAGGCTCAGCAGAGCGGTTTAGCTGCACAACACAAACCCTAGGGTTTGCACTATATTAGGGTTTAGGGTTTAGGGTTTAGGGTTTGCAGTCCTCTAGGGTTTAGGGCTAGAGAAAGAAGAGGCTCAGCTGAGCGCCTAACTGCATAGCATAAACCCTAGGGTTTGCACTCCATTAGGGTTTAGGGTTTAGGGTTTGCGTTCCACTAGAGTTTGGGGTTTAGGGTTTAGTGTTTGCAACCAACAAAAAGGGCTTATCCATTAGGGTTCAGGGTTTAGGGTTTGCATTCAATTAAAAGGGTTTAGTGCTTAGTCTAAAGGGTTCATTATTAGTTTTACAGTTTGTGTTCGCCGCCAAACCCTAAACCCTAAATTCTAAACCCTAAACCCCTAAGCTCTACCGAAGCCCTAAGAATGCCACATCGCTGCCTTGCCAACCTGTCGCCTCCATTTCTTCTGGATTTATTTAGGGTTTAGGGTTTAGGGTTTATGGTTTAGGGTTTAGGGTTTAGGGTTTAGGGCTTACAGTGTACGAGGGCCCGCTCTGAGAGAGGTCAAGCCAAGGAGACAGCAGAACAACAGCGCGAGGTAGCGGAAGAGATTTCTCTCCCTCTGCTAATGTTTGATTATATTTTATTATTTGCATCATCAACGTCACCACCAAGTTGCCTCCTGCACTGTCTCCTGCAGCAGCAGCAGCAGCAGCACGAGCAGCAGAAGCAGTTGCAGAACAGCAGCAGCGGCACGACCACCACCAGCAGCAGCAGCAGGTGCAGCACAGCAATAGCAGCAGAAAAAGCAGCAGAAAAAGCAGCAGCAGCAGCAGCAGCATGTGCAGGACGGCAGCAGCAGCAGAAAAAGCAGCAGCAGCAGAACGAGCAGCAGCAGAACGAGCAGCAGTTGCAGGACAGCAGCAGCAACGAGACCCTCAAACCAGCAGCAAAGGCATCTGCATCTGCTGTCTCTCTCTTTGTCTCTCTTTACTTCTCTCTGTCTCTGTCTGTCTTCCTGTTTATTTATTTATTTATTTATATTTATTTATGCCTTTGTGCATTTATCTCTGTTATTTTTATATTTATTTTATTTATTTAATCCTCTCTAACGCCTAAACCAAAACACATTTAAAAAAATAAACATATAAACATATACATATATATATGTATATATATATGTATATATATATGTATATATATTATATATATATATTTATTTATTTATTTATTTTATCCCCTCACCCATAACAATAAGGCGTGAAGTATCTATTTGCTGCAGCAGCACGAGCTGCCTATACACCTCAAATACTTCAAGCAGCTGGCAGGGCCAAAGAGACTCAGGAGCCAATCGATAACGCGGGGCTATGATCCGAGCACCCGTTAAACGAGAAACGTCTGAAAAACCCACAAACCCTAAACCCTAAACCCTAAACCCTAAACCCTAAACCCTAAACCCCGAAATCCTCAAAAAAAAGGAACTCCAAACCCTAATTTTGGAGCCCGGAATGAAAAAAAAACCCTAAACCTGATATCCTAAACCCTAAACCCTAAACCCTAAACCCTAAACGGCGGCTGACCATTGAAGAAGATGCGGTAGAAGTCTGGGTTTTGAGAGATGAATGCTCCTCCGTGTAGATAAAGAATATATTTATCTGTCTCCCCCCTAGGAGCAATGACTTCATTTAAAGACAAAGGCGAATAAAGAGCATCAGGTGATGAAGTCCTGCTTAAGCTGCGATGCGAGCTGTCTGTACAGCTGGAAGATTGAGTATGAGATCCACCTCCCTCGCCTCCCCCCCCTCCATTGCTGCTGCTGCTGCTGCTGCTGCTGCTGCTGCTGCTGCTGTTGCTGCTGTCTCCTTCTGTCTCCTCTACTCCTGTTGCTGCATCTTCACTGCCTGCTCGAGTTAAAGCATTAAGTTGTTTTAATACGAGGAGTCTTAACCTCCAAATATCTGTAAAAGAAATATCTTTCTCAGCTTTGTTTGCTGCTGCAGGATCTGTTTCATAAATATAAACAGGGGACCCTGCAGCAGCAGCAACAACTATTGTCTGCTGCTGCTGCAGCACTCCAATCCCTCGAAGCAAACCGTTAATTCTGTTAATGCTTCTCTCTAATACACCTCTGTCTCTCTTCAATTGTCTATAACTGTGCGGCCAAAGAGTTAAACGAGCATATGTAAAAATTGCTGGACAAAATAAACGACGAGCAGATCCCTCAGGAACAGCAGAGCGGAGTAGAGACTGCTGCGCCATTGCCCTAAACCCTAAACCCTAAACCCTAGACCGTAGTGGTTCCCTGTCTCTCAAACCCTAAACCCTAGTAAACCCTCGTCAATCGGAAACAAGCAAATATATCTTATAAACAGATATATGCACTGGTATATAACTGAGTGCATCCAATGTAAATAACATACAACAAACAAACAAACAAAACACCTTCTTATGATTTACACCCAACGGTTTAGGGTTTAGGGTTTAGGGTTTAGGGCTTAGGGTTTGGAGGTCTAGGGCTTAGAAGGAAGAGGAAGGGCATCCGATCCACTTCTCTCGCCTCAAAGCAGGCGAGGCATGCTGGCTTCCTATGCTGTTGCTGCTGCTGCTGTTGCTGTTTCCGTTGCTGCTGTTGTTGCTGCTGCTGCTGCTGTTGGTGTTTCCGTTGCTGCTGTTGCTGCTGTTGCTGCTGCTGCTGCTGCTGCTTCTCTGAAGGAGACACTTCGACAAGGCCTTAAAGGAAGCTAAGAATAAGGGCTTTTACAAACAGAAAAAAGAAGAAGAAGAGACTGCAGCGCTGCAGAGATGCAAAGGGAGCAGCAGAAGCAGCAGCAGCAGCAGCAACAGGTTCTCAGCGGCAGCGCGGAGTCATTCTAGGAGCGTTCATCGAGTTTATTGACAGCTAAAAGAGATATTAAAGACAAAACAAACAAAATAAAACATTTAAAATGTAAAGAATAAGGAGAGAAACCCCAGAAGCCTCTAAGAGTTAGCTCCGAGGCCCGCTCTAAAGGCAGGGTATACATGTGCGGTAATCAGGGGGTAATGCAGCTCAAACAAGAGAATAAAATTAAGAAAATAATAAATTAAATATAATTAATTTGTAAATTATCTTCATTTTCATATGTTTTACGCCTTAAAGAAGACTCCTCGCATTAAAAGAAGCTTAGCCAGTGCACGGGGCCCTCTAGTCTGAGGTGTATATACACCTCAGCAAGCCCTTAGAAAAGGAGTAAGCTGGATCTGTTTGTTCTTTTTTTAATATTTAATACATTTAATTAAAAGTATTTGACTTTAATTAGTCTTCCATCTCCAAACAACCCCTCTCTTTACCCTTTTTTCATAAAAAAAAATAAAAACTCTACTTCATATACTAGGGCCCCTCGTTCTCCTCTGCTGTGTCTAAAGCAAAACAAACAAACTTCTCAGCTGCATGCATCAAGCTACCTTAACACTGCCTCTTATCCCTGCGGTGTATCTGCACATCTGCATGCAGCACGGCGGGTGGCGGTCTTACTGTTGTTGCGGCTTTTAATACACAAAAAAAGTCTTAATAGACTCCACTAATACACCCCAGCGCAGATCAGCTAAGAAACAAGAATTTAAAACAAGAGAAAAAGGTTGCAAAATAGATAATAACGTGCATCTAGGGTCTCGATGAGTGCTGAATAAATAAACAAATAAACAAATATATAAGCAAACAAATATAAATAAATATATATATATATATATGTATATATATACTTGTATATGCCTAACACTGAATCAACTGTGTAGCTTGAGTATAAATATAATACACACTATGATTCAGTTTGTGGCTGGAGTCGTTTTCTCGACTTTATACTAAGCCCTGCAGCGTTTAAACTCTTTAAAAGATTTATTTTTTATATCTTTTAACCTCCTCAGGGGCCCCTCCGATTGCAAAGGGGCCCCTGAGGAGGGGCTGGGTACTGTTGGTTTGTGTGCTGCGCTGCAGTGTACAGACAGTTGGGCGGTCGTTATGCAGTGTCTGTTTGCTTCAAAGGAAGAGGTGCATACACCTGAATCGAGTAAGAATGATGCTGCTTATAGCACTTGTTCAGCAGACTTTATCTACCAAAGAGAAGGTTTTTTATAACTTTCACAGATATATCTGTTTATCTTTATCGCAGTATTTGCAGAGGAGTTGCCGCATGCCTTCTTCAATAAAAAACTATGAAGCAAGTTCTCAGAGTATAAATCTACACTCATGCATAGCTGCTGCTTGAATATAACTTGTTTTTATCTTCTAATCTCCAGCCCGCATAAAAGCTTCAAGCTCTAGTAAGTGTATAAAATAAACAAGCTGTTGTCGGTGAGGGAGGTAAGCTAGCCACAGGTAGAGGAAGGGGTGTATATAAAACAAACAGTATAAGAACTATTCTTAAGCGAGAGTACTTCAATATACAGAGATAAACTCGGCTTCATGCTTAACATCGATACTGTTAAGAAACAATTTTATGCAGCAAACTTTAAACTCCTCCGTGCATGCATCTTTATGCTTATAGTCAAAATGAGGGGCTCGAATGAATTCTTAATACATTGGTTTGTAGAAGAGATTTGCAACTATCATCTCCAGCTATCAGCCTCCTAGCTGGCTAATGAATGAATATTTTATTTTGTTGCTGCTTATTGTTGTTGCTACACGGGCCTCGAGAGACTCAGGTGTCTCAAGAAGCTCTTTAAAGCAATATCTTTAATGTTGTTTTAGCGGAGAGTTGGAAGCAATTACTCTCTTTCCTTTGTGGTTATAGAAAAGAAAGATTAAGATGTTTGTGTAGAGGACAATCTACGTAATGCAGAGATATAGAATATAAGCTATATGTTTAACCCGAGAAAGAACAGCAAAAGAGCCTACCCAACCTATGAAGAACTTCTTTAGGTTCTTTCTCTCCTGTGAAGTGCACAGTGAGGATACATATACACTAAATACACAAAATATAAATCTCTCGTCTCTCAATTATATATCTTCTGAATAATGTTTGTTCTATGGTATGCCCTTTTGCTCGCTTTGTATCTCCATATACACCCGAAGGAACTGCAAGTTGCGCATTAAAGCCGCAGCTCCCTGCGTTTAAAGCTGGCGTTTATATATCTGATATAATATATATATATATTTTATCAGATAATAGCAGATAGAAAAGTATTAAAGGAGACAGACCCACTGTGATGCTTCTTATAAAGGGCTGCAGAGACATTACACAAGAGTGTAGATCTCTTGTATTTTGTGGCTGTCATATTAGGATTGTTGTGTATAATGCTGAAGAATATAAATTGTATATAATTTAAACTAAATATAAATATAATTTTTTATTTTAAAGCTCCTTAGATATTGACTCCGCAAGGAATCCGGCTTTTCTCAGTAGAGACGCCCTTTGAAGATATGTACTGAGCTCTTAGATTAATAAATGCAGTTTTTTAAGTATGTTTTCTTCTGTCTCTGCAACTGAGCAGAAAATATTGAGGTAAATAAGCGCTGAGGCTATCCACAACGACGTAGATGCTATTACAGCCCCCGCTATGTTTTAAAATTGAAAGTATTGGGGTGTATATACACTGAGATATCTTTAATAATTCATTTATTTAGTAATCCACAGAAATATCTGCAAAGTTTAGAGTTTGTTGTAGGTAAACTAAGGAGAAAAGCAAAGGCATACTTCTGCTAAAAGAAGTTTATTACCTGAGTCCACTAAAAGGAGTATTTACTCTTTACTATACTATTGTATTTATGTTTGTATTCTTGCTTTACCCTCGCTCATGCCCCCCCTGTAAGTAAATTAATGCGTGTACACCGCGGAGAAGATGTCTCTTTGAGATACGCCAGCGTTGTGCTGTATGCAGCATTTTATATAGACAGCCAAACACTCCCTTAACTAATAGCTAAAATTATTACTATAGTATTAGCTATGAAGAGAGAAGAAAATATTAGAAAGACTACTAGGATTGTTGCGCTCTTCAGCTCAACTCAAGCATATTATGAAGACTGTAAATATATTATTTTAATTGTAATAGGTTATAAAGTGAAGGGAAGGAGAAAAAGAGAAGCAAAACTTAAAGCCCTACTGTTTGTTAAGCGTCTGTTTGTATGGATGAGTCTTAGGTAGTTTTTTACTCAGAATTGATCTTTTTCTTCTCTTTTTTATTGATTTAATTGCTTTTAATTGTTTAATTTAGTGTTATTTCAACCCCAATTATATTCATTTTCGATTATTTACACAGAAAACTGAAACCGAGCTGCCCATACACCTGGGGGCCCGAGCGGCTGCCGCTTATTCATTGTTGGTCTGCCTTAAATGCGGGGCCCTAGTCCTATCATTATTATTTACTTGTTTAATTATTTATTTATTTAATTATTTGTTTTCAATATTTAATTTAATTCAATTTTCTTTTCCCTTTCTTCTTCTGAATACTCCATACTACGCACGAACACCAGCGGACCTGCCGGACCACTGTAGGGCCCCCAAGGCTGCGGCCTACTAGGGTTGAGGGTTTAGGGTTTAGGGTTTAGGGTTTGAGTTTATAAAAAATGGAAGAACTCAGAAATGTTAAGGAGGGCCTGGAGACCGCCTCTGTGCCTCCAAGCCACAGGAGCCACGACGCCCCTTCTCACGCCTCGGTACGCGTTTAGGGTTTAGAGTTTAGGGTTTAGGGTTTAGGGTTTAGAATTGGGTGTCTCTGCAGCAGGAAGGCAGGCTTTGCTTATCCTCTTAGGTTTTGTTTATCGTCTTCTTTGTTGGGTCTAGGGTTTAGGGTTTAGGGTTTTGGGGACTCAAACCTCTGTCTTTGTTTATCTTTGTTGTCTTTGTTTATTTCTTCTTCAGCCCAAACTGCAATCAAGGCAACACACCGTGAGTGTGTTTACTTATGAATACTTTGCTGTTTAAATAGAAAGGCTGTGTGGTGTATATATATATATATATAGGCATATATATATAATATATATATATATAATATACGTATGGGCCTGTCTCTGCGTGTCTCTAGAGCTTCCTGGCGCTGTATGAATAGGGTGTATAACGTATTGTATTAAGAAGTTTGTTAATACTTAGATATGTTTGTATTTGGGGTGTATAGTCAGCAGCATGTGCATTATATCTGTCTCTTGTCTCCTATGTTAATAGGGTTTGACTCCACGCATGCAGCCCCAACACCGTACTGGCGCAGTATCTCTACGCTCTTTGAATTCTTCTGTCTCTTCTTCTTCTCCTTTTGTCTCCTTCCTTTCTCCTAAAGAGGCTAAAAATATTACTTTTCATCGCTGGGAATACACTGACGACTTTGGAAGAACGCAGGCAAGACATTATTATATATACACTCTAGGGTGTATACGCAGCTTATATGCATGCATATTATATATATATATATAGGCACCACATAATTCAGTGAAGATATTGAAATGGATTCTACGGGGTGTATATAAATATAACTAACTAACTAACTAACAAACTATATATATATATATATGTATATATATATAAATATATATATATATATATAGACATATATATCTTTATCTATATATATAGACATACGTCTTTATATATATATACTTTATATATATAGACATATATGTCTTTATATATATATATATATGTTTATAGGGGCCGTTTGACTCTGTGAAAATATTGAAGTGGATTCAAGGAGGGTTTTTTGATCGTCGAGGCTCTATTCTCTTCAAACGCGTTGGTGCTGCTGAAGCCAAACCTCTTTCTCAACAACTTCCTTCTATATTAGCAGGTAAATATATATAATATATATATATATATGTATATATATATATATATATGTTTGTATATATATATGTATGTATAAGGGTTAGAGACAGAAAGAGAGATAATTAAAATATATGTGTATATGTATATGTATATGTATATGCATATGTATATGTATATGTATATATATATGTGTATATATATGTATATGTATATATATATGTATATGTATATATATATGTATATGTATATGTATATGTATATGTACATGTATATGTGTATATGTATATGTGTAT